CCAGGTCTCCAGCTCGGGGTTGTGCTTTTGCCAGTCCGCGGAGCTCGTCGGTCAAAGGGCTGCAAAGCTGTTAAAGAGTGACTAATTGATGGGAAGAGGGGCATGTGACCCGGCGGACCCGGGAGCTCTTAAAGGGCGCCTTCTCTGCGGAACGGAAGGGTGAGCTGAGTTCAGGGGTGGATTTAGGGTGCCCTGGACCCCCTCAGGCGGGCTTCGGGAGGAGGAGGGAAGGCTGCGGTGGAAGGGCTGTACGAAAGTGTCAAAGCTGCCCCGGTCTCCACGTGAAAGCTGCCGAGGTGTTGGGTAAAAACTTAGCATCTGCTTGCAAACGAGGGGCCTCTCTCTAAATACTCCGGCTTTCGGGGTGTGTTGTGGCTTTGTAAAGGCTCTCTGTCGCTGCCCTGGGAAAAAAAGCAGGTACGGGCTGTCAGGGGAAGCTGCAGCTCGTGGGAAACACGATAATGGTGAAAAACAGAAACCGGGAGTCTTAGTGGTGCAGGGCACCCAGCGACTGTGAAAGACTGTTGTGAAATTGCTGCTGCCTGAATTGCGGTGTTATTACCACTTGCACCTTTTAAACCATCTCTAATAGCTTTGCTGTGGTGTAGGGCACTAACCAAAATGTGACCCTCTTGTCAGGTTTGCGTCTCTTCGCTGTGATGGACGCAGGAGAGCAAAGTAGTTTCCGTTTCAGATATTGTTAACAGAGGTCACTTAGCTAAGTTGTAGTTACTATTTTTTTCTTAGTGGTATAACATCAAATCCAGAAACCTCAGGTTTGAAACTTGAAATCCAAGCGAAGGTCTCGATGTCAACAGTTGGGGAAAAAACTTGCGCGGAATTGTTGAACTAATAAACAGTAATAAGACAACTTTGTCACCTTTTTCCTTTCATCTTTCCCTCCCTCTGTACTGAATTATATTGGCAAATCTGCATCTGCAGAGGGAGTAAGGGAATAGCAAATAATACCGTGTGTTTTGTAAGCTGATACAATGTGAAAGAAGGTGTCTCTTGAGGAGTTCAGGAGTTTGCTTTGGAGAAGCGGTTCACAGTGGAAGATGCTTTCCCACTTTATTCGTGTGTTGATAATATGAATAAAACTACCGACGCTGCAGCGTCATGCTGGGTTGTGTTTTTCTTCTGTGGTGTTCCTTGGGAGAGCAGAAAGCTTAGCAGAGCTGAACCTGAAAGTTACTCGTGAAGATACTATGTATAACCGTGGTATTCCTGGTTGGTCTTGAAGGAGAGCTTTCTTTTTCAGGAGCATTTAATTTCTTTTTGAAGTAACAGTATCTCAAATACAATCTTATAACCAATGGCTTTCTTAAAAAAGACTTTTAACTGCAGTTGAAGAAAATCTTAAGTGATTAAAATAGCTTTAACTTCACAACTTCAGTGGCTAGTTTGGTTCTGAAAACGTAAGTTTTCAGGGTTTTTTTGCTTTCAAGTATTAGTTGATAAGCCTTGTAGATGGATGGGGGCGTGTAAAAAGGAAACCTGTTAAGTTGGTGTAATGTATACAAGAGTATATGAAAACTAGCGCAGGCTGTAGTGTGATTACTCTTAGAGCAGGCTTAAAGCCCGTGAGGGTTTAACCTTTCAACGGCAGGGAGCTGAGTTAGGTATGCTGACAGGTGCTGCTCGTTTTTCTTGTGTGTTCTTGCCGGGGCGCTGCTCTCCTGACCTGCCCTATCGTTTGTTGTGCCTGGGTTTGTGCCGTTCGCAGTTCTGCCGCTGTGTTTCTGTCCCGTTCTCCAGCTCCCACCTCTCCTTAGTATGGCCTTTGGGTTATCGGCCTGAATATGCCAACCCTGCTCTCGGGCATTGTAGAAAGCTGCAATCGAGACACGTTTTCCTTTCCTGGAAACACCTTTCCTCTGTCACGTTGAGGGACCCTGTGTAACCCACCCTGCCCTGGGTGATGTTAGGCAGTGGCCCACTAGGTTTGTTTTTTGTGGCCTAGAATTGGGGTCAGAATCTTCCGTCGCCAGTCCGTCCTGCAAATAATTTGTCTCGATGAGACTGTCGGGTCACTTTTCCTTTTGTTAAAGATCATCGCTTTTCTGCAGTGATGATCCCTTCCCTCTCTCTTCGCATCTGCAGGAAACGGTGAGGGAGTTCACAGCAGGGGCGAGAGAAGTGCGCTTACTTTCTAGGCTGGGTTCTTCTTAGCGATGTCCATGTATGGGTTAACCAACAAAGACATCAATAATTTTCACTAGAACTTTTTTCACGCGTGGGGCAAGCTGCTCTTTGGCGATAATTATGTAGTCCCCGGACCTGAAGTTACTTCCCTGTCGTATGCCTCTCACATACTGTGTAGTAAATAACCCGAGATGTAATGCGTTTTGAAAGAATATTTCCAATAGTATTGTTAGTAATTGTATTTAACACATTTAAAGTGAGTTTGCAGTTCTGCTGAAATAGAGGAATTATTTTAAAATAGCTCATTCAGCCAATTTGGGGAAGAAGGTTAGCGGTTGACTGTGGAGCGATGTAGATGCTTGTAAATAGCCTTTGAAAGTCTGTCCACTTGTCCAGT